ACATTGACAGTTTTCCATCTTGTCCAATAGAGCAGTGATGATGAATTTAGCATTATATTGGATGGAAAACAATGATGATGGTTTTGGTGAATTATCGGATGATGGAACACCAACTTGTGATTTTCCAAATAAATTCCATAATTTCATGTGATGATAATTGCTTCTGTTCTATTTATATCATGTTGTGAAAGTTTGGTGCTTTCATCATGTACAACCTCTCGAAAATGTGAATAATTGGAAGAAATACACAAGCAGCTTGAACAAGAGCTTTAAGGTTTAAAGGACGAGAATATTAAAGGTTAAATCAGTCGTTGACATTCTAATCAACTCTGTTACAAAACATGATTGATATCATCCATTGAAAAATTAAAGATTGTATTAAAGCTCTCAAATATGGACATTCAAATGATTAAACATGGAACACAACCATCACTTTTCATTAAAATTTGAGGTCGATTAGTGAACGACATGAAAGAAAAAAAATAACAGAGCTTCAGTTGAACTCTCCAAGAGGATTTTACACAATGACTGCTGGCACCGCCTCTCTATTGTCGTTCCTATTTCTATTTGTGATTTGCTGTTCTCTAATTCACCAATTGAGCGCACTTTCTTTTAACAATATTTCAACAATTGTTGGAGGAGGAAGTTTTATTGGTGATGGGTTGATTTCAACCAATGCCTTGTTGAACTATCCATCTGGTATGGCCATGTATAATGGTGATTTATTAATTGCTGATTCGTTTAATCACAGAATTCGAAAGGTTTCGTTTTCAAGTAGTGGCGTTATTTCAACAATTGCTGGTATTGGTTCTTCATCATTTAGTGGTGATGGCGGTTTGGCAATTAATGCAGAGTTGAATTTTCCAAGTGGTGTTGCTGTTCATTCTAATGGTGATGTCTATATTGCAGATAAGTCTAATCATGTTATTAGAAAGGTTTCGGCTCTCAATGGAAAGATCACAACAATTGCTGGAATTGCAGGTGAAACTGAATTGAACAAGTACAGTAACTCATTAGCAACAAATACCACACTTAATTCTCCACAATATCTTGCCGTCAATTCTTCAACTGCAGAAGTCATCATTTCAGATACAAATAACAATGTTATTCGAAAGGTCTATCTTAATGGAACTATTGTAACAATTGCTGGAGTTTATGGAAGTTCTGGATACTCTGGTGATAATGGAAATGCAGTTTCAGCCAAACTCTTCAATCCAAAGGGAATAATCATCAACTCAATTGGTGAAATTATTTTTGCTGATTCTAGAAATCACAGAATTAGAAAGATTTCTAAAAATGGAAAGATTACAACAATTGCAGGAACTGGAACTGCAGGATTGAGTGGGGATGGTGGTTTGGCTACAAGTGCCAAATTGAATTATCCAAATAGTGTTGCATTGGGTTTGAATAATGAGATTTTGATTGTTGACACTTTGAATCATCGAAT